AACGAGTTGAAATAAGGAACACTTGCTCCCATCCCCCATCCCCCATCCCCCCCTACTCCCGCTGGACCTGCCAAGTAGTTGCCAAATGTACCCTACCCCTTTTGGCATATCAACTCCGCTCACGCCTCTTTGAATCTTGATAATGGCGGCTCACTATCAGACGCCTGTTCACACCTCGTCAGAAAAAGGGTAGCTAGTTAGGAAGCATATAAAAGGACCTCCTGTTGTAACGATTAGATCACCCCTAATGAAGGCACTAGACAGGAGTGTCGAAACGTTAGGTAAATGAATCGTAATTCCCCCGATTACATTCAGTAAATCCTTAAGCTAGAGTAGCATCAAACCATGTCTATAGGAAACTTTCTTGTAACGATTTCTATAGTTCGGTTATCTCAACCTTAGGTGGGTAAAATTCTGGGCATGCGTGTAGGCCCTTATTTAGTACTGCTTCGACACGAGTGTTTCTTTGACCCTGGAAAACCTCTCCCCGACTCGTCTCAGATCTTCCCGCGGACAAAAAACGCGCGTCCTGCAGCGCAAATATATAAGGGACTTTAAGAAAACCACGACGGCAACGAGAACGAAGCGAAACTAAAGATCTGGTGCACAAAACAATAGCGAAAGACGTGCCTTTTTAAAGCTTTTTACATTTCTTAGCAGTCCCATACAGAACAAAAGCGTGAAATCACCAACTTTTACGTACTCTTAACCTCGACAGAAATTTAGTCAACGTTTTTACTTCGAACTCCATACTACATTCACGTGTTTTGTCCAGGTGAAGATATCGTACCGTCAGAGACGCTTCGCGCGTCGACCTATTGGTGAAAATCTTAAAAGAAAATATATCATGTTTTGCCGCAACCTTATACCACACGTCTCCGCCATAGTGACATCTTAACCTCCCGGATAATGACGGACTGCTCGCAAGCGAGGTAAACTTAACTTGGTTTGCTTTTTAATGACGAAATTTTTTCGTTGTTTACAGAGACCCTTTCCGACCAGAGAAGACTAAGAAAGAGACAACATCAAGGAGAAAACGTTCACTAAATTACAATGGCTTGTGATCACAATTCCACTCATCATGGAGTTACAACACTGATCAGCGGCTTATTTCTCCTAACAGTTCCAAAACAAAGTCACGGACATAGTTAGGAGATTTCAGGACATGATCATCAAATAAATCTTCAAGTCTATAAGTAACATTTTCTTTCCTTTCTACACGAGAACCGATTGATTTGCTTTGAGAAGCACATTTCAAAGTTCTATGCACACGCAGAGAAAAAAATGTATCGTGAGCCTTTCTCTGGGCAACATTATATTTGCGAAAAGCGCGACGTTTTCACAAAGAAATAAGATACAACTTAAGTTCGCTTTAATCTTCTCACACGTTTTTCTTCGAATCAGGAATTGAGAATGATGAATGTAAATGGGGCCTTCGGCGACTTTTAGTTTGACATTGAATTCAACATTTTATAGCTGCATATAAGTGTTTAGAGATATTAATGGTTCTTTTTACTCGCCTTTTGAGAGGCAAAATATAGATAGGGTTGTCTTTGATTCTGTTGGTGTCTGGGATTAATTTTGATTCATTCCAGTCTTAATTTCCAATCTTTCCACTTGATCATTTTTTTTATGTCCCACTGAATGATACTTGAATTACTAGCACCTCGCTATTGAGGCAAATTATGAAACTATGTCGAGCTATATTTTACCAAAAAAAAAGCGACACTTCTAGGTGATAGTTATGTTTTCTAAGGAGAGAATTTGGCTCACTTGAATTTTTTTTTACGTTATGTTTTTATCTTTAATTTATTCAACAAAAAGAGAAGCTGTGGACGTGTCAAGGCTTTTTATAATTTCTAAATATGTTATAAAGACTACGATAATATAGCTGTCAGAATCAGTGACACAGTAAATAAATTTTCATATTTCCTGTCTGACCATTGTCGTATCTTTTTCGGACTTTGAAAACGCAAATTAAAATCACGCGAGTGGTGTGCGCCCAAGTTGCAGGTTCACGCGGTCAAACCTGAACGGGCTACAAGACGAAGCAGTTTTCTCTTTAATTCATTCGAAATCCAGACTAAGAAATTAAACTATCTTTTAATGTAGCTGACAGTGCACTTGTTCCTTTAACTGGTTGAGTGTAGAAAGAAGTAAACTGCTTGTAATGAGCTCGGGCGCAAATTATGATATTCGTCTCTTCTTCTCGCAATTTAACGATGAGAGAAAACGTGAGTGTTTGTTTCTAGTTCCCATAACTTCTCGAGCACCATGGATAATATGAAACAGAATTAAAATATATTTTCAAAAATAATGGTACATTAACATTACCTTCGTCACAGAAACCAGATAACACCCCACGCAAAAGGTTCTAGCGTAATGTGATTGCAGGTGAACGGTGAATGAAATGTAATGCGAAAACGTCTCCTAAAACACTTTCTATGGCAACACATAACGAGAAGCAAGGGTGTGATCAAAAGTGTACTTTTGGCACTAAAACTGCGGAATTACAACTAATCACGTTCTGTTGCCAAAACGAGTCATTTTGTCACATATTGTTCTTTAATTAATTTTGAAGTGGGAAGTGTACATTTCAGCTTTGGCAAGTGTGTGCTTGATTTCAGAAGAGCCGAATGGGAGACAGACAAAAGTAAAAATTCCTTGTAAAATCACAATATCTTTATTCATCAAAGCTGCTTTTATTCTTCTCTGCTCAATTTTTAGAGTAAAGGTTCTAAATATTAGAACGCTCTATCATTGGTCTGACAAGTGTTACTGTTCAGGGAATAATGAAATAAAAATCATTAGTAAGGTAAATATCTCGTGGTAATTCTTTGTTTTTTTTTTTCTGACAAATTAGAATTTATTTGAGCTCTTTTGAAGTTTTACTTCCTCCTACAGAATGAAGTTGATTATACTTTTTGCTTGCAGAATATTAGTTTAAGTTTGTACAAAATTTGTTAAAGTGGTCAACATTTATCAATACTTAGATATCTTTGCAGTTTTGGTTTGAAATTACATTTTATGTTTTGGTGTATTTTAATTTGTTCGCACCATAAGTAACGTAGATTTTCGACCATAACTGAAGTTTCATCAAAGAGATTTAAACCTTTCCCGTTGACGTTTTTGTGCACAATGTCATTAGGTTTGCAAAATTTACCATAAATTTAGCAGCTCTTTTTAAAACGTGTCAATGCGTTGTGCATTTCCAATCTCAATTTTTTCTTAGATATAACCATTGCCTTAACAACGGGTACACTTTGTATACTCTCATATGTAAGGTTTACATAGCAAACGCATCAAAACCATTGATCTGGCAGGCTACAACGTTTGAAAGCGCAGAGATTTGCCGAAATTACGAGAGGTAAATGCACCCATTAGATATGAATCCAGGTTTTATTTCAACTCTTCATGCTTCTGGGGAACATGTGGTATTTTAATTTGACATGCGCCATGGGGGAGAAATTTATCATTTTCTTCTTAGTAGCAATTTATATGCTACTCAATCTTTTCATCAGACTGAAACTTGTATCTATAAAAATTTAACCCATTTGTACTTTTTTACTTTGATTGTTAACTATTGATAAGGTATTGACGATATAATCTGTCAGGATCTCCTTCAGTTGAATATGTTTAAAGACCCTAAAACGTTACTCGGGAAATTCCGCCCTAGAATTCGCTGATAATAAAGAGCTTTGAGTTAAGTTAGAACTGTTCTATAGCAGCAGTCTTTATTTCTTAACCGCCTCCCGGTTAGCTCAATGGATAGAGCGCTGGACTGATGTGCGGGAGGTGCTGTATTAGATGTAACATAAGATATGTAATTTTATCTTTTGAACAATAAAGACACACACACAGTTCAGTCTAATATTGCAATGCCTAAGTTAGCATGATCTCAATGAATCATACAATAAATTGTACAATAAATTGTACAGTAAGTTCTACTATAAGTTCTATAATAAATTGTCAATCGAACTAAAGCCCCTCTCGCAGAATTTTTTATATCAACGGTGACATTATGTCCGTGTTTGGGTGAGTTCCGAGTTCGAACCATTGATTATCTTTTACAAGATGTCTTAAGCCTGAGAATCTTGTTTAAGTTTTCTCCTTTTTATTATACTTTTTCGTGTTGCTTTTTTTTTTTTTTTCAACTTTATATTTGTTTTATTTGCCTAGTTTTGTTTTGTTTTTTTTTCTAATTAACGGTGTTTTTATATTAAGATAATAATTTAGACTATAGAAAATGATTCTGAAAAATTGTTCTCAAATGCATGACAATTCACGATCTCACAACACAATTTTTCTTAAGACATAAAACTGTAAAAACGAACGATAAAATCCGACGTTTCGGAGTAGTCATGACTCTATAATTCAGGAAAATATAAAAGATCATGCAAATTGCAACATAGAAAGCGTTTTTGGCGCGAAGAATTAACATAAGAGGGTGCGAAGATCATAAAAACTATTATAAAAATACTTTCGCACAAACGGAGTCTGATCGCATGTTCAGATTTGGATTTAACGCTCCTATAAAAAGCATTTCGTACACTAAGCACAATTTTTCTTAATGTTTTTTAAAAGTTTTTTTCATTCCAATATCTAGGTTGTGATATTCCTCTCATTCGAGATCTCCCCAAATCACGTTTTTCTGCCTCCTCATCTAAAAAGGACGCGTCTAATCTGCGTTTCACTCCCGAAACGCCCTCGGCGCCCTGGTGCCCAGAAGAACGCCCACCCCTAGAGGCTGATTATGGGAAAGAGTACGTTATAGTGGACTTGGGATGCCTGCGATCAGTTTGTGCAATAGAGGCTCAAGATAAAAACTTGATGACTTATTCTGCTGAATATTCCATCGACAACAAAAATTGGAAGACGTTGACTACAAAGGATACAACTTACTATTTTATGGAGGTAAAGGGGTTTTTTTTGGTGAAGTTATGCACGAGAAATAGCGTTGGCAGACCGTGAAATTGCTTAGAAGCATTGAGCCCTATAGACTTATTCAATAACCTTCGCATCATTTTTTCGGGATGTAACGCAACCCACCTCTTCGTCGTTCGCGATTAGTTTTGATCTTTTTCATCCTTGGTAAAACGAACTGAATATAATAAGTATGCAAAAACGTGTTTTTGGTGGAAACCTGGTATTTTCTCAATTTGCTATCTGCTGACAGACGAGGCTAGTTCGTTAGACAACCAAGACACTTAGTTTTGCCAACAATCAATAGTATGTGCCAACACATGCACACCTAAAACCCAGTCCCTAGTATTCAAGGTCAGCACACGGTAGCGACAAGCCTCTGAGGCCCAGGAACAAATCGCAGCAACCGATTAATTCTATGTGACATGGATAAAATCTTAATCCTTGCCAAAGAAATTTTGCCCCGCAAACAAGACGCACAAATTCAAACGTCGCCTGGACTTGTTGTGAAAGCAACGTACACAAAAGGATTTAACCGCCGATCTGGCGTTCATTTTTCAGGGGAGAGCGCGATAGTGTAGCTGCGCAAGAGATGGCGGTTTTACTGCTACACGATCGCACTTCCCAGATCACAATTAAGAGGCAGTTTGAATAAAGGTTGATAGTTTCTAAAGAAACTGTTTGGGGCTGCGTCGGAGGGGGTAACGAAATAATTTGAATATATCAACAAAGTTGAAATGGTAAATTGGCCACCGTTACGATTATAAAATGACGTTTCGAGCGTTAGCCCTTCGTCGGAGCGAATAGGGGAATTGTGGGTTGTGTGTGCTTTTAAAGGCAGAAAAAAGAGCTACGTGGGAACATGGCAACGAGAAAAACACGAATAAATTAGTGGAATGAAAAGGTCTCAACGAACGCTTTTCATCGCCACTAATTTATTCGTGTTTTTCTCGTTGCCATGTTCCCACCAATCACGTAGCTCCTTTTTCTGCCTTTAAAAGCACACACAACCCATAATTCCCCTATTCCCTCCGATGAAGGGCTAACGCTCGAAACTCAGCTTTTATAATTGTAACGGTGGCCAATTTACCATTTCAACTTTGTTGATATATTCAAATTAAGAGGCAGTTTGTCTCAGATATGTCTTAGCGCCTCGTCACTAAGTGTTTGCCGGCCTCAGACCTAAACTACACTGTACTTTGATCTTCAGGAGTATGATGCAAACTATAAGGCGGTGATCACTCCTCCAATTACAGCTCGTTTCTTCAGGTTCCATTTCCTCATGTGCACTTGGAGCGAAGAAAAAAAGTCCCGTCCTTGCGGTAAAGTGGAGCTGTACAGTGATGCAGGTCAGCCATGCGAATGACGATAATCAAGTAAATGTCAGACTACAAGTAAAGAGTTCTATCTACCCACCCGTTCGAAACTTGATTCTTTTTCGAATCGAACTTTCTCGTCACCCTCCAACTCGTGACGTGCCCAAAGAGGTCCGTTATCTCCAGTATCATGATATCCCTTAGCATTGCACTTACTGTGCAGTTTCCGGGATTAATGGAGTGGTCCTTATATTTTTCTACTTTCTACGCTCTCTCTGGTACAAAAACAATATCATTTGAAATCCAGAATGACCTGATATGCTTCTGAGTTACATTCAGACGCTTGTCACGTAAGCTGGTGTAACCTTCCCCCACTCCCCCACTCCTGCCCTACAAGTCCCATGTTAAAACATCTTCCCCTTGGGTTATTCCCCCACTCACGTACTATTTTATACATGACCTTAATAACTGTTGTATCGACCAGAATTAGAGCCCCTCATACCGCCCTTTTTCGCGCGTTAACCTGTCCCTTGAAGGGCTAAGCCAAATAACAGGCTGTGTGTGGCCTACAATCATTGCAAAGTAAAGGGACAAATAACATTGACTGATAAAATTTGCTCTTCAGGTTTAGATCCAGATGATTCAACAGAACCAATGGGATGCTTCATTGAGCAAACCTCCAAGAAAAAGAAGAATGAACGTCTTCTTCCTGTAGTTTATCATAAAGTTAGAGGCGACATTGTGAAGAAGTCGCCAGATATTTTGGCCATTTACGAGGAATGCCGAAAAAATGCCGAAGATCATGTGGAAATATTTGGTATCCTGAACTTCAAACAGTGCGTAACGACCCAGAGCGGTAAAGAGGAGGATTATTTTAACAGCGCTAGAAAATCGCGTAGATGTAAAAGCTGTTACGGTAAAGGCATCGGGACTAAAAGAAAGGCTGTGTTTGTCTACAAAATAAATCTCTAGTAACATAAAACATAAATTATTATTGTTAAGGACTGGTCACTATCTAGTGCTAAGAGGAGTGGGGGGAGGGGCAGGAGGATTTTTTTTTGTGTCACGATAAAATTTACCTAATCCTCACTGAGGCCTTGTAATAATTGTGAAATAAATGATCACCCCTCATTAGCAGTTAATTTGCAGTCAGTTTTCTATAGTCCCCCCTTCATACTCTTTACACGACTGATCCCCTTCTGTTCTTCCTAGAAATCATGCGATCCTCCCGAATCCTTCGCTCTCCCCCCCCCCCTTCCCCCATTCCTAGGCGTTGAATAATGTCTGGCCTCTAAGTTAAACATTTTATCATTGTGGTTCGGAATCAACACACTCGAATGTAAAGTAGTCTTTGAGGGACATGGTCATAAATCTCTGGAATTTATTTTGAGGGCAGCTTCGTTCGTCCTGACGATATTTTGTATCGTTGAAAATCAGTTGTTTATTTGTTGAAATAAAACTTTAAGATATTTAATTGCGGGGGTAAATAAACGCCAAAGGAGAAGGAATAAACCATAAAGAGACGAGAATGGCTGAGGGTAGAGAAGGCGAACATTATTCCCGTACCCAGACTGTCTACGGCCCTACATTTCAGTTACACGATAGGATCTGGGCACGAGATAAGACTGACACGTATGTTAGAGTTACCATATCCAACAAACTTGTCTGTTCCCTCATGGCTCATATTCATCAACGGCAACGCTCTAAACGTTTGAAAACCATAATCCAAGACATGCGCTTTTAAAGAAAAAGATTCCATGTTGTCGTGTGTTTGTTTAGTAACAGATCACAGCTGATGTCAAAATGTGAGAAGAACAAAAAAATGGCGCGGGAGGCCCAGCTGAGTGCGTTACTGATGTTCTTACTACATTTTGAACAGATTTACGGAAACACCTGAACACGGGAACACCCCGAAACACCCGAACACCCCGGAAGACCGGAACACCCCGGAACACCGGAACAACAACAACATTTATTTATACCACAAAGAAATAAGATAAGAAACATTAAGAAACTATATATTTAGCGCCTGCTTCTAGCTTCTAAGCTCTTTCGTGTTACGTGGGTAAACAAATTACATCTACATTTTATTTTTTACACCGTCAAATTCGGTGTTCCGGGGGTGTTCCGGTGTTCCGTGGTATTCCAGGGTGTTCCGATGTTCCGGTGTTCCAGTGTTTCTGGTTTTAGTACATGCCGATTTCGAACGAGAGCAATACAAATGAATTAATATAACCGGAAAATCAAAGTAAAATTTAAAAAGTGAATTATGCTATTTTTTTAAAAATGATATCAAAACTTTTTCTGTCTGGTACTGGTTTCTTTTTGAGAACTGCCCCGCGAGAGGATCACGCGTAATTTACGCGCAAAAAGAAAAAAAAACTACTAAGAGGGAATGGAAGAATTTTCTGTTTGTTGCAATATTTCTGTTTGTTGCAATATTTAAATTCTACTGTTATCGAGTGCTGATGTCTCACTTCCCAACAGCTGTTGATTTTTTGTTCTTACTATTGTTGTTATCACTGTAAACAATGCTACACGCATGTGAGGGGACTCGCGTGGCGCGTGGTCTTTGGAAATAGAGCATCATGGGACTACCGGCGCCATTTTACTATCGAGTATCAAGATCTCAACCGTTTATTTATATTGTTTTTAGGACGGATATTTTAGCCAGTTTCCTGTGGTTGCTAAGTTTTTCAGATATGTCGTATAATTATCTGGCCCAATAACTGTATTTTAAGAGGAAATCAAATCGCTCTTAGGTTGAAAGCCGTGACAACAAATACAGTTCGTTGGATTTGAAACGAGGAACACTGCAGCTGCATGTGAGTTGGAAAAAACTTTCAGAAGTGGTTAGACGAGAAAGGAAGACAACAAGAAAGGTCAAGCTCTAACTGTGAAGAAACTTGGCCTTTTGGTACTATTATAAGCGAGAAATTTGAAATGGTTTACCTTACAGCTTTCTCTCGAGGAAAAAATCAGTTTATTCTACGCTGGTTTGCATCGTAAATCTCTGCCCACGTGTGACAATAATGAGTTCCGTTGCAGTTCAAGTTATGCCGTCGGTAACGAATTTTTCGAAAGATTCGCTCATCGCCAACAAACTAGCGTCAGATCTTGATGCCAAGCTTGTGTCGTCCTCAAAAAAAGTCCTACTTCAACGAATCGAATTCAAACCTGCTTCAAAACCCGATGAACAATACGAAAATTTGAGGAGGAAGTATGTTCCGGTTAATTCTCCGTCAACGAAGCATTCAAACGGCCACTGCAAGGAACAGATGCGATCTCCGGATAAGAATTCAAACGAGGAGTTGCCCTCGCCAAAATTCATTTTATTTCCTGTGGAAAACGTTGAGTTAGACTGGAAGCAGGTTCGAAGAGTCGGGCCAGGATTGAGCAACATGGGAAATACTTGTTTCTTGAATTCCGTTCTACAAGTTCTCACCTACACTGCGCCTTTGGTGAACTATTTGGCATCTAAAGTTCACAGCGAAAAATGTAAGTGTTTTGCTGGTTGGATGATCCATAAGCTCACGCATTAGTGAACATTTCATAATTACGTCTGAAGGTTCGTGCCTGAAATGTTTACATGTGCTCTATATTGTTTGATAATCCAATCAGTTTGTAATTAATTGTTTTGCTGATAAACCAGGGGTCAATTAGTAAAGTTAAAATCTTCTGCTTATCTTAACATATTTCCTTTGGGTGATTTACCAGTGTTTCCAAGCCAACTATGAGATATTTTTCTCCAACTTTCTTTCTTGAAATACTGTTTCATATAACTCTATTTAGAAGCAATAGAAAGGTTGAAGGAAAACAATACCTGCAAACTTCTCCTACTTAAGTTACATGTATGCCTATTACTCAGATTTAAAAAAAAAAAGATCCAAAGAATGTGTCAATATGTTTCTTAGAATTCAGGAGGTTGCCTTACTGGCACAATCTTGGTAGTTGGTTATTCATAAATTTTGCTTGATTTCTTTGTTCTCTTTGTCTGTGATCCTATCATTTTTCTCCACTGAACCTCTGGTCTTATTGGAAGACTCAGCATGATTTTAAAATTCAAACTTTCTGCTAACTGGCGTGTGTCATTTGGCTTGAAGTTGAATTTTTGATCACTTTAGTATCAGCTGATTCAAATTTCCAGTATCCCATTGCAGTTTGAGTCAGCAAGGTTATCCTGTATCAGTGAAAAATAGTGACCTACCGTAATCTGTGAAGAGAAAAAATATTCCTCCGGTCAAAAAGCTGTTTAATGACACCTTAATCACCTGGAAATCCCAGTAGTTATATTTCGGTGGATATGCTGTAAGATGAGCTTTAAAATCCCATTATTACATGACTCAGGCAGTCAGAGGGCCAATAATTAAAATCAACCAATCAAAATGCTCTATTGCCGGTTAATATTCTCTCAGTATTGGACCGGGCACTGTCCCCAATGGTCACGAATGATACCGTACTTGTGTCCCTTTGAACTTCAGTCATATAATAAATCTCTTATTAACCAAGCTTGCTCGGGAT